GACTTGCATATAAAATTTCATATGCACAGTGGTGTGTGAATATCCAATGTGTGAATATCCACTGTGTGAATATCTACTGTGTGAATATCCAATAACACATTACAGAAAAGCAGGATGATTTGGGGAAATTCAGATTTGTCTTAAATATGTAATTTTAATTTTAACATATGCTACTTGTCATCTGCTTAAAATTATTTTTAGAACTTTGTAATAAGATATGGAAAGAAATTGATTTATCAAAATTCTTGTAAGCAGGAGATAATTTGTATAGTATGTTTAGTGAACAAAGCAAAAATTAAAAGCCGATTCCAAATCTGGCTGCAATGTTAGAAAAACTAAATATAAATAAAGTTGTCTTTAAAGGCAGTTTCCAGATGATTGCTTAGAGAAATCCATCTTTTCCTGATAGCATTTTTGCAAGTGGCTTGCCAGTGCCTTTTTCCTAGAGCTGAGAGAGTATGGCTGGCTCAAAGCCACTCTGCTGTCTTTGTGCCTAAGGCAGGACTAGAATTCAGATTTCTGATTTTTAGCCTGATGTTTTCAACCACTTGCTGTTTTCATTAAACTATATGATAAATGTAACAAAGAAAAGGTTGCAATACAAAATACTGGCATATTTTCTGGTAGTAAATTCAGTTTGTATTTTAAATATGAATTTTAAATGAGTGAAAATTCTATATTGCTTTCTCTGTGTTTACAACCAAAATCTTTAAACACGCCTCCTTCCCCTCCGATTGCCATTCGATTTTGCTTTCTCTTTTTAACTGTAAAACTGTTCTAGTTCTTTCAGGAAATTACATTCTGCAAAACTAATCAAAGCTCATGCACTGAAATGAATGCATATGGATAGAAAAGCAGAACTACAATAGTAAGCTTAGCTTGATCCATGTGTATTAATGAAGCTGCTAAATCACTAACTCTTAAGACTGATTGAGAAGTCTATATATCTTAATGGGCATCGGATTTAAGAATTATTTACCCAATTTTATTGTACATTCAGTGACATGTTAATTGATGCATTCCCATTTACACTGAACACCTTTCGACATTACAAATAAAGATCAATTCTCATTTATGGAAGTTGAACCACATTGATTACAGTAATTATTTAATGAAATAATTCTGTTGCCTCTGAAAATTTCGTATTTTCTGAAACTGTTTTCATGACTGCAAGAATCAAATTATGACACTAACATGCATTTTTAAATGTATTCACAGATTCATATAATAGCATCCATGAATCCTCAGACCCAAACCCTAAGCCAACATTATTTGACTACTGATTCCCCAGGGGAAAAAATTGGATCTATAAGGATCAATATTTTTTTGCATAGAGCTGCAGATGAAATGTTATTTTAAATAAACTATGAGTAATACATACTTTTACAAAATCTAGTTTTGTGATTCATGTTAAAATACAAAGTGACTATTTACATAGATTATTTTTTCCAAAAACATGACCAAATCTCCACTTGAAAATTCCCTCATACAATATATTTCAAATGGTGGCCATCATTTCATTATAGTGTGGGAAAATACATGACTTTCAGATCCTCATTAAGGTAATTATTAAATTATCTTAAAAACATGATATTTTTTCACTAAAATTTCAATGCTACAATGCAAGCAAAGTGAGGACTAATATTGCCATTTCTCTACTTTCTGCAAGGAAGAAAGTATATAATAAGACTCTTTATTTGGTTTTATAAATCTTTATACAATTTGAACTTTTGGTATCTGACAAAGCTGATCATCAAGTTATCTACCGAATAAAATTGTATAGGTGGACAAGTCTGAACTGTTTATAAATAGTGTATATAAGAAATTATCTATAAACAATTTATTCTGACATTCAAGTAAGTTCTGTATTTTGAAAGTGTTGAACAATGTAACTGAATAATAACCATTGGGCTTTAATTTTTTCTCAAATGTTCTTCAAATAAAGGTATTTAAGAAAGCATTCTTCATGCACCTTTCATTATGTCTGGAAATAAATGTCTGTTCTGTCAATAATTTTGTTTAGGAAATGTGTTTTGTTGAATTTATATTTCAAGTACAAGGAGCTTTTGGCTTTAAAAAATCAAAGATCATAATTCTTCTAATACTGATTACTGTGAACATAGTAATATTACTCTTACTGTGTTCAGGATTATGTAGTAAAAAGAACTGATAAACAGCATATATATATATAAGTTAAAGTAACTCCAAGATATATTCATGCAGACATGAATAAGTGAAAGAAAATCAAAATACTAGGTAAGAGGAACACATGTGCAAAAGAGACATATTGATTTTTTAAAAATTCATTCAGATTTATTTTTTAAAAAACCATTGAATATGTAAAGTGAATATGATTGTGATTATTGTGATTGTGACTGTTGTGGGACAATACTTGTTTCACTTATCCATAACAGTGAAATTAAACAACTCAAACAGGTATATAAACCCTGTTACTAGATAGAATTACCTTCCTTGTTCCATTCTCAGAGTAATCTGTTCCATTCTCAATTCAATTATGAAACTGAACTTCCAAACCAGACTAAATTAAACATCCTGTTTCAGAGCATGTCTATTTCTGGAAGATTCTGAACTACTTTCATTTTCAGTTTGGAAAATAAATTTCTATAAAATTACTCCTGACACTTCTAGATCATTATGATCTAGAAGGGGAATATAATATTTTGGAGTTCTCTAAAACATTCCATTACTGGGAAGTTCCATTTAAAAAATAAATAAATAAATATCCTGTACTTTGTAAGTAATTCAATCAATAAATCAATCAACCAACCAATAAAAATGCATGGTTGAGTGAGGGGCAAGCTATGCAATATATTGTTTTGTTGGACTTTCCTATATGTTTTTCCTTTTCTTTAAAAGGAAGGAAAGCATAAATTGGACTGAACAGAGGTACAATGGAATTGATGGAATGGGAGAAGGATACACATCAGTTAACAAAAAGTGTCCATGAACATTTTCCCATTTTCTGAAAGAATTCAAGTTTGAGAAAATAAAAGAAGGAATAGACAAAACTTAAGCATACACAGGAGAACTGATCATATGTACAATAAATGGAATGGGATAACTGTCCAAGTGCCCTCAGGACTGAAATGCAGTACATAATTTAATAAATAGTAATAAAGTTAGCTGGCTGAAGGCAGTGGCACACAAAGAGGATTTATATCATATGGAATTGCTAGAACTTTTAAGAGAAATATTTCACAATGAGAACTTCTATTGCAAGCCCTAGCCATCTACCCTGAAAGTTGATTTTTTGACTGTAATTATAGCAGCTAGATCTATTCAGAACTCTTCAAAAACTAAGAATTGTAGTTATAGTTTCAAGTACATTAATTGTTTATTAACACATCATGTAAGTAACTAATTATGTATTTAAAATTATCTAAGAATATCAGACACGAAGCAGACATATCTGTGAAAACAATATTGAAAATGTATATATATCTTTTTTCAGGAGAAAAAAAATTCTGAAAGAAGGAAGCAACAAAATCACTTCTGCATTATTGTCTAGGAAACCCAGTCATCATAAAGAGAGCTCATCTTCTTTGTTAAAACCTAGATGATCCAATCTCATGTCTTCTGAATTCTTTTCCTGTTTTTGTGACAATCAAAATATCTTGGATATATAAAAACTCTACACCATTCTAAAACTTTTTCAGAAACTGGTGAAAGAGAAGATAATTAAGAAGACAACTGAAAAATCATGTCAGCTTTTTGCTCTGCTTTTCTTCTCCTCAGTAATAGTAACAATGTAATGTAATCTTGCACAATCCACTAGCATAGCGGTCTCCAACTTTGGCAACTTTAAGACTTGTGGACTTCAACTCCCAGAATTCTCCAGCCAGGGAATTGAAGTCCACAAGTCTTAAAGTTGCCAAGGTTGGAGATCACTGAACTAGCATGTGATTGTGGAAGAATGAGAATGATTGTAAAACAGTCATGGCACTCAGCAGACATGAAATTGCAATGCAAATTCTATGGCATGTGCATTGTGCAATGCATTTTAGGTTCCATGCTATTTTCATTAATATTCTCAGTATTCAACCTAATAGAATTTTATTAAAAAGTTATTTTAAATTTAATTTGTAATAATATACTATTTTAAAGCAAAATGGACTTGTTCTTGTTCTAAGCACATCACATTACTGATTTGCTTATGTATGCATGAAAATCTGTTCCAAGAAAGTAGCTTGAATGATCATTCCAAAACAAACAAGCTGTTCTTGTTTTTTTTTAAAGAACCCTAAACATTTATAATACTTTGTAGCAGTTGATGAATTCAGAAAATCAGAAAATCACTATCATCACCACCATCATCATCACCACCACCACCACTAATCACCATCATTTCTGTCAGAATCAAACAGATGTAAAATTGGAAATCTGCAATTAGTACTTGTCTTAAAATAGGAGGCCAAACTACTAAAGGATCCTTTATCAGCTCAAGGCCAAATCCTAAGAGTGATAATTTTGTAATATTTTATCCTATATCATTTACTTTATATAATTAAATTATTTTATTTAAGCTTTTATTTTGTCAAGTACAGAACAAATGTCATGGTCTTTTCTCCACAGAGTCAAATCACTGGGTGGGTTCAGTTTCAGTCAAGAGTCTCTCATAGCATAAAAAAAAGATTCAGTTATAATCTTCCTGATCTGATATACCCAGTTCTCATTTACCTTTTATTTTTAAAGTAAGTTTCTTGATTGCTGATCTTTAAAGTTACATTGTTGTAAAGACATCTGTTATCCTTAAACAGTTAAGAATAATGATTCTACCAGTCTTATATGCATACCCTTTGTTAAAATACTATTCAAATCCAATTTAATCAAAAAATAACTGTAAATACAGTTCTGATTCCAACTCATTAAGAGTATTCTGTGTTAAAACATATTTCTTTCAGATTCCAGGCTATTTCATGACAACATTGTTCAGATAATTAATAGATATTTTAGTACTTAATATTTCAATGTGTGCTTACCTGTTTAATGTCATAAGCAAGGAGAACATATCTTAAATCTGGAGATACTGAATATCTGGATGCTTTGAAAGTTACCTATGGGGATATAAGTGAATAAGATTGTTTAAAGGACTGATATGGTCTTGTGGCTGATGTAATGACTCTAGGAGGCTTACAATAATCCATAAAAACATGGTGAAAAACAAAAGTACCCTTTCAAGCAAACTCCAGACAAAACATCCTCATAGCTCATCCCCAACCTAGCCCAATACTTGGGGGGGGGGGGGGACGACCAGTCTTCACAAGCCTCCAGAAGGCTAAAAGAGTAAGGATTTCTCAGAGATCAGGTGGGACGTTGTACCAAAGGGCTGCGAAAGTCATTGAGTTCTCATTAAGTGGCAACATTTAAGATCAGGGATCTGGAGTAAATCCATTCTATCTAACTTAATAGGATGACATAAGTCCTCAGGGAGAGTTGATCCTGCAAATAACCTATCCTGTCTCACATGGTTGATTATGGAAGGCACAAGACATTCAAGATACCAGGGTTATGCAAAACATTCAAGAGGAATTTATCATAAAGTTTGTTAATGCAAAAAAACAAAACCCACCTTTTTTTTTTTTTTGCAATGTTAAAGCAGGCACATCTTATAGAACACTGCCCTCAAAGGCTTGTGTATATCTGTGCATGTATACAAGATCTGATGCTTTTTGAAAAATGATGAAAACAACACTGCAACCTTTACTGCTTTAGTTTATGCATCTTGTGATATACGCACAAAGAGAACCGAGCTGCTATTGTAATGCTGGGAGGTTTTTTCCCAGTCATTTGCTCCTCCTCCATGATCTCTTCCTGCAAGTACTACAAACATTTGGGCTTGCTGTCTGCTTGGACGAGGAGTGCTAATATTCTTTGTAAAATATTCATTTTAACTCATTTCATGCTTCACAGATAAATACGTTTAATGTTTAAGGACAATAGTAAAACTGAAGTTTAAAATATTTGGAACATTTCAAAGCAATTGGTGCTATAACTTATTGATTTATTGTTCAAAAGAAAAGAAAAAATGATGAAAATCCTGGTAACCACATAAAATCATTAAAATGACCTTTAAATTTAAGTCTAAAGGAATTTTCAGGTTTTATGTAAATATGGATCTAAATAATTATGGATAAATTTGTAACCTGTGGCAGAACTCGAAACAGCTCAGTTATTTATGGAAGTCTTGTCTGTCTTTGCCATAAGCAAATTACTGTTCTGACCTAGGCTTCCCCCAACAACATGAAGCTGAGTCCTGGTCCTGATAACCCCCTTCTTCCCCCCAAGCAGATACCTATTAAGCAAACAACATTCTGACCCATTCTTGGCTCTTAAAATAATCTACTCCTTCTTTCTATACATACCCCCTCTTTTATTTAGGTCTCTGAATTGAGTAATTTTCCCCCCAGATCATATTAATTCCAAATGGTGCACAATGTATCCCCAAACCTACCTCTGACTCTTTGATTATTATCACCCAATAAAGCATTAATAGACAATTTTTACTAATCTATAAATTCTTCCTTTCATACACAGAAACAATAATTGACATCTCTCATTCATAGCTAAATCTTACCTTCTATGTGCAGTAATACAAATATTTTTTAAAAAAACTTGCTTAATATAAAACAGACAAATAATTTCTGACCCTATTAAATACAATTGCAAGGCCTGTTGAGCTGCCACTAATGTGAAGTAAGAAACATTAATTTTGTAATTTCCAAGTTTTTTATTTCCAACTGTTGGTACATATATCTGTGTATAAAAATGACATGATACCATGCATGGTAATAAAGATAAACCAATTATCCTTACAAAGTATATGCAACTGCTTTTCCAAATAAAAATATGCATTATAACAGTTTAATCAAGGAACCATCAAGAACATTCCCGCCATTACTTACAGGGCAAGCCAGTAGTACATAAAAAGACCAAACTCCCCTCCCTAGTGGCACTGATGAGATTACCTAGATAAGTAATGAAATTTCAACAAGAAAAGAACCAAGCTCAGAGAGCATCAAGGATCCACAATGATAAATGTTACAACTGTTTCATTGTACCACTGTATTATTATGTTTAATATGTAACATATTTTAATTGATATAAGTTCCTCTGGTATTTGTATAAATAGAAAATCAGAATATGAATTTAATAGCAAAAAAGTATATAAATATGTACAATACAACACATTATTCATGTATCAGCTAATACATCATGTAGTGGTTAAAAGACAAAATATATAGGAGCTGTAACTTGAATTTCATTATGAATCTCCTGAATACTATTCCAGTTGTCTTCTGAAATATTCACACCTGATTTTTTCATTAGATCAGATAAGGAAGAACTATTGAAATTTAATGCCCAGGCCCACTTTAAATGAATTGTAAATTTGTCCCGTTTTCTTTAAGCTCAGTATGGAGAAGTCAATAGAAAATAATAAGAATGACATTAATTTGATGTCTTGTAACCCTTTCCTGGACTAAAGAAATAATTTTAATAAAACCAGACTCTATATTACATGAAGTTTTGGATGCATATTATATATTATATATACAGGTGAAACTCAAAAAATTAGAATATCGTGCAAAAGTTCATTTATTTCAGTAATGCAACTTAAAAGGTGAAACTAATATATGAGATAGACTCATTCCATGCAAAGCAAGATAGTTCAAGCTGTGATGTGTCATAATTGAGATGATTATGGTTTACAGCTCATGAAAACCCCAAATCCACAATCTCAGAAAATTAGAATATTGTGAAAAGGTTCAATATTCTAGGCTCAAAGTGTCCCACTCTAATCAGCTAATTAAGCCATAACACCTGCAAAGGGTTCCTGAGCCTTTAAATGGTCTCTCAGTCTGGTTCAGTAGGAATCATAATCATGGGAAAGACTGCTGACCTGACAGTTGTGCAGAAAACCATCATTGACACCCTCCATAAAAAGGGAAAGCCTCAAAAGGCAATTACAAAAGAAGTTGGATGTTCCCAAAGTGCTGTATCAAAGCACATTAATAGAAAGTTCTGTGGAAGGGAAAAGTGTGGGCGAAAAAGGTGCACAAGCAGCAGGGATGACCGTAGCCTGGAGAGGATTGTCAGGAAAAGGCCATTCAAAAGTGTTGGGGTGTTGGTCCACTGTGCTTCATTAAGTCCAGGATCAACGCATACGTCTACCAGGAGATTTTTGGAGCACTTCATGCTTCCTTCTGCAGACAAGCATTATGGGGATGCTGACTTCATTTTCCAGCAGGACTTGGCACCTGCCCACACTGCCAAAAGCACCAAAACCTGGTGAAATGACCATGGGATTAGTGTGTTTGATTGGCCAGCAAACTCCCCTGATCTGATCACCATAGAGAATCTATGGGGCATTGCCAAGAGAAAGATGAGAGACATGACACCGAACAATGCAGAAGAGCTGAAGGCTGCTATTGAAGCGTCCTGGTCTTCCATAACACCTCAGCAGTGCCACAGACTGATAGCTTCCATGCCACGCCACATTGATGCAGTAATTGCTGCAAAAGGGGCCCAAACCAAGTACTGAGTACAGATGCATGCTTATACTTTTCAGAGGTCTGATATTGTTCTATGTACAATCCTTGTTTTATTGATTACGTGTAATATTCTAATTTTCTCAGATTGTGGATTTGGGGTTTTCATGAGCTGTCAGCCATAAACATCACAATCATGACCCATCACGGCTTGAACTATCTTGCTTTGCATGTAATGAGTCTATCTCATATATTAGTTTCACCTTTTAAGTTGCATTACTGAAATAAATGAACTTTTGCACGATATTCTAATTTTTCGAGTTTCACCTGTATATTATGTATGAAAGATCAAGGATTTGACATCTTAAGAAAGCAGGTTTCACCTGCATCAACAGTGTTTCATTTAATAACTAAAAAAGGCAAATATACATCCAAGCTACCTTACCAAATTTGTTTCAATTATGTTCAGAATTTTAAAAGTATAAAATTAAAAGAAATGAATAAATTAAATTATGGGTAGTCCTTGACCTACTACCACAAATGGAACTGGAGTTTCTGCCACAAGTTGTTGTGATCATAATTTAAGACAGACCCAATTTTATGACAATTTTTACAGTGGTTGATAAATGAGTCATGTGGTCATTAGGAAAACCCTACTTCCCCAATGGGATATCAGCAAAAAAAAAAGTCACACTTACATCCCACTAGACATTGAAACTGGTCGTAATGCAAGCAGGTTGCCAAGCTCTTAAACTGCAATGCCATCACAGTGGGGTCTTAATTGCAAATCTTATTTCTTCACTTTTAAATCACTTTTTTAAAGAAGCTGTGAATTATCATTAAAAAAATAGTTGTAAGTCAAGGACTACAACTGAGCCAAGGTAGTGCAGTGATTAGAGTGCAGTACTGCAGGCTATTTATGCTGACTGCCAGCTGCCTGCAATTTGGCAGTTCAAATCTCAAGCTCAAGGTTGACTCAGCCTTTCATCCTTCCGAGGTGGGTAAAATGAGGACCAAATTGTTGGGGGCTGACTCTGTAAACCTCTTAGAGAGGGCTGTAAAGCACTGTAAAGCAGTATATAAGTCTAAGTGCTGTTGTTATTGCTACCGATAATATTATCAATCCAACTGAACTTCAGTGAGGTCTAGATTTAATTCAGTTTAAAAACTTTCACAAATTAAATAATGAGACATATGAAATATCAGATAATCAGAACTGGTAGTAATAAAATTTGGGATCTTAACCAAAGAACAATTTAAATATTAGGAAAAACACAAATATCAATTAACAAATTGCTCTGATTTTATAGTGCTAATATTGCTCTGCTTTTCTAAATAACATCTACTAAAATTAAATAAAACAAAAACTAAGAGAACTATATGTTAACATAATACTGCATATGATGTAGTTTTATCTACCATTATTTTTGAAATCATTTTGCAGTAATGCAGAATTCTCTGGAATATCTCAGATGTTATCATAATGTTTTGAATACAGAAACTGCCCAATCCGAGAAAGTTCCATGGGATTAACTCTGTATCTCCTCTTTGGAACTGAATTGAAGCATGGAAGACAGGATAATTATACAGTGAAAGAAGGGCAATCACATAAATACAGGGACACAAGGCTACGTATAAGAATGTTGCATTCTACCCATAACAATTTTTCTAAATTCCTTTTCTAATTTGAAGACAATGTCAAACCTAATTCCATAAAATTGAAAGAGCTGGAAAATAAAAATGCAGGATGATTTTTCTGGACAGTATTAATGAAATCTGCTTCTGGCAGGAAATATCCTGGGTAAATATGTTTCCTTCTTTTATAATTATATTGTTTTGTAATTTGTTTTTCTATTTTCAATTTTTAACATGATGCTTTATGGCCCACCAGAGAATAGCATAAAATATTAGTTTAAAAGTGTAAAATAATATTTTCTTATCATTCTGAAAATGCAAAAACAACCAACAAAAAATAGTTGGCAGTTTAGCTTTGTAAACCATACTGATGCATTAAGAAGCTATTACATGCTTCACAGTGTTTTACATCTCTCTCTAAGTGTTTTACAGTGTCAGCATATTGCCTCCAAACAATCTGGTCCTCAGTCCTCAGTTTACCGATCTCGGAAGGATGGAAGGCTGAGCCAACCTTGAGCCAGTCAGGATTGAACTCTTGGCAGTGAGCTGAATTAGCCTACAAAGCTGCATTCTAACCACTGTGCCACCATGGCTCCTATATATTATATATAACTGTAAAATGAATAGCAATAAATGTTGTTTTGGAAAAAAAACAGCTCTCATGATTAAGATTTAATTCTCGAATTGACAGTGACAAATGGACAATAATAACACACTAACAAAGCAGATCTTTTTCATTTTCCACCTTTAATTTTCTTTCACAGATTCCAATGACACAATTTTCTTTAAATCTTAATGAATAAACTTAAGTAGCATTATACTGAACATAAATTAATTCTATACTTACTGATTTTCAAATAGTTACGACCACAACTTTATTTCACTAATTCCAGGTTAAATCTTTCAACAATTACAATTCATAGAACTGAAGTGAGTGATAGAAAAGAAGCAGGCACTGTCCACTGTAGAAGGACAGATAGACAAATATAAGGAGTCTGGTAGCTCCTTTCCAACCAACAATGTTATTAGAATGCATACCTGATGTTATGACTTGCAGCAACATGAACTGCAGCTCATTAAATGTATACCTTTTAATAACATTTGTTTGCTAGAAAAGATTCTATCTGGCTACCTTTAGGGAAGAATCAGCTTGACTTCTACTGAACAGATTTTATAAATGTTGAAGCTTTTATTTGCTAAAATTTACAAGTACAATCATAACTGATGAAGATTATATTTTTATATGACACCCTTATTTGTTCTTTTTAAAATTTACTTTAAACAACAGTTCTTACCAAAAAAATAGAATAATAAATAGATATAATTCAATAGAAAAGTGGCATCGATAATTACATGACATAAACATTGTTTATCCAGTAACCCACATGTTATAAATAATTACTTGATTTTTCCATAATGAGGGCATGTATCTGTACTACCAATCAATATCAATCAGTCTTGCTGGTCTCATGGTTTCTTGCTTAACTGTTACTCCATAAAGCAGGCAAGAACATGCCACTGTAACATGCCACATTCAAAATTATACATGAGATAGATTTGAAATATCTCTTGCATATAGATTCAGGGGGAAAAATAGCAACGTAATTTCTTATTAAAAATAAAGAAGTAACACTTACAAAAGTTGCATTTTCCAGCAATAATGTAGTTGTGTTTGTTTCTACATTCAGTTTAATAACATGTCCATTCCTGTTTTTATATACCACTTCTGTATCTGTTAATAGAAAATGCATTAAGAATTAGGAAATGCAAATATTCTGTGCAATAGCTTCTTAGTTAATAGACTTTTTCAATAAAAAAGACATCATTGACCATCCAATATATTAAAATGTGATTAGGTGAGATAATGACTTCATCAGTGTTATCTGTTTTTGTTAATTTGTTCAAGATAAGTGCCCCTGGTCTTTCTGACTTACTAATGGAGATAGTCTTTCACCTTAATATTATTATACCTTCTCCCCTGTATAAAACAAGGTCAACTGACTTTTTAAAAAAGAAGACTTAAGCTGTTTGACTTTAACCCCAAATCGTATCTCTCACTCCCCCCGGTCTTTTTTTTTTTTTGCACTGTTTTTCATTGCTGCTAAATAAGAATACAGGATGCTTAATACATTAGATTTTTTTACACTTAGAAACAAACAAACAAAACTTTGTAGGAATGGTTAACTGCTTCATTATTCTACTGCTCTGATGTTTTGTAATTCTCCCACCTATTGAAAGTAATTTTAAACATTTCAAAACACTTTACTGAAATAAGCTTCGATTGCACATAAACCTTATATTAACCATGCAATGGCTGTACAAAAAGGAAGAAATTTGTGAATATTGCACCATGATGTAACAGTATTGTGAAGAACATGTAATATTAATAAATTCGAACTGTTATGCTACACGTTCTTCATTCCTTTCATGTCACCTTTCAGATTCTGCACTAACTAGACTAATTTTCTAATTAGGCAGAGCTTCTTTGCTATTTTATGTAATGAAGAAAAAAACCCATCATTATAGATATCCTTTAAAAACTAGAAATGTTATTTATTGGATTAAGACTAAAGATGGCACAGTGTCCTCCAGCCATCAGGATATTTTTTATATCCTCAAGTCCTTTCATTTTAATTTATGTTACTCAAATGTAGCTGACACCAGGAGAGTTAATTCTGTTTCTGATCCATAATAAATTAAAAACTATTTTATTCACATCAGGATTTAATAATTTTAAATATGGCTCATAAGAAATATTGGAAAGCATGAAAGAACATTAAAAATGGAAAAGCACGTTATATAGATGGATAGCCAGTAAATAATACAAGCACTTCAAAAATGGATGAACAGGAATCAACCCTGGTGACCTACAATACTTCTGGCATGTTTGCCTTCCTGCATCAGAGAAGTCTAACATACATTCTTGCAACAGCTATAGTGGCAGCCCTTGAAGAAAAAGTTGTATTGAGGGGCAGCAAGCAACTGCTTCAACTGATCAGAAATGATACAGATTTATCAGTTCAAAGAAAGGAAATCATACAACAGAAACTGACAGTGAAAGCAACTTTCAATAAGGAAGACACTCCACCAAACAAATACAGCAGAAAAAGATAGCAAGATAGAAAGAAAATTGTATCATCTTCTACTTTATTGGAATTCAGAAAGAGTTGTCAGGCTCTCATGTGAAATAGCAAATAGGGGAAATGAGATGGAACAGGAAACAGGATCATGGACATGGCAGAGTAACTTCTAAGACAAGCCCATTGATTATTTCTTCTTGCTAATGCATGAGAGAGAGAAAAGACAAAATACTGCAAAACAGTGGCTATTATTATATTATAGGTTGTAGTATCACAGATTCTGAAAGAAATTCAAGCCCTGGGGAGTCAAGTGGTAAAGAGAACTGAATAATCTTGCAAGTGAATAACTGACTACACAAATATTGTCAAACAAAGTAAATACCTGTATCTTAAGAAACATAAATGGATCATGTGAGTAACTTGATGGGATACTTAGAATGGTATTTTGGTTTGTGAGGCAGTTACTAATAATCTTAAATTCCATAATGTGTGATGTAATCTATGGAGTAAAATTGGGTTTGGTGAAAAAAGAGTACAGACATACAGTAGCTATCCAGGAAGAATATTTACTAAATATATGAAAAATTATAGAGATTTGTTAAAACTTGTAAATGTTTATACTGTACAACTGTGGGAAGTAGTGTATGTTCATTGAAAAAGAATGTTTGTGAAAAGAAGCAAAAATTGTTAAACATGCTTTTATTGTTTGTTACCCATATATAAGAGATATATGTTTGCATGTGTTGGGCATGCATGTTTGTGAATTATAGGAATTATAAGAAATATAACAGGAAATTAAATGCAGTAGAAAGATACTTGCTGAGTGATAATGAATATGGATAGCATACAAATGAAAAGTATTTAGTTGGATGGAATTTATGAGATAATCAAAAAGAGAGACATAAGAAGTTTTAAAAATAAAAGGCAGCATTTAATGGGTGTGTTGGAAGCAATGAGCATTTGCAAGGATAACAAGATATTAAAAGGTACGATATTAGATCAAGTGCAAACTTGAATTAGAATTTAGATCATCGGTCCCCAACCTTTCTGGCTCCATTGCCTGGCAGCGGGGGGTGGGTGGGTATGGTTTTGCATGTGTGTTCCCACCACTTGAGCAAATGGAGTTTTGTGTGCTTGCCCACCATTTGCATGGCCTGGTTCCCAATGGACCATGCACCAGTACCGGTCCATAGACCAGAGGTTGGAGACCCCTGGTATAGATCAATGTAAAACCATCAATAACAATTCACAGTGGTAAGATAAGGCAAGAAAGAGAGAGAGACAGTAACCTCTGATACATAAGTAAATAAAGTTTTTAGAGCTGTCTTTATGGGTTTGGAAAAGAAATATACTGTTTTGACACTTGCCTGAATCATTCTAAATCCTTTGGGGTTATGAGGGGAAATTTTTAGATGGGAGAGACTTCCTTCACTGACTAGAAACTAGTTAAGCACATGTAATACATGGACATGCTGCCTACATCAATGAAGGCTAGTTTAGGGAAAACTTAATCTTGTCAGGTGGGCTTCACTTGTTCTTCAGTTGAATCCCCAAGTACATTTGCATACAGTAATAAATTTCATTTGCATACATTAATAAAGTTGGTTTTTTTGTAAATGAACCCTTTCTTATTTAAGATGGAAAAACACTGAATATTTTGATTCCTCTCTGGAAAAAAATACACATATCAAACAAGCAAAGCCTAGATTGTATGTATGTATGTATGTATGTATGTATGTATGTATGTATGTGGATCTTTGGTTATTCGGGTTTTCTCCCACGTAAAATTGGAAGTATCTAGGCGACGTTTCGATGAAGACTCATTCATCATCTTCAGGCTTGTGTCTTCGGCTTTGTGCTTCTCGGAGTAATGTGAGCTTGCAGCTGCTTCTTCCTTTTAACTGCTAGTGGGGGTGTGACTTGATTGGGTGGGGGCTTGGCTGTGTTCTGATTGGTTGGGGGTGTGTTCTCATTGGTTGGGGGTTTGGCTGTGTTCTGATTGGTTGGGGATGTGTTTTGTTCAGGTGGGGGCTTGGTTGTGCTCAGGTTAGTCTTAGTTGCTGGGGGATTTGAGCTGGTGAGCTGTGATCCTGCTGTTTGGCTTCGCGTTCGTGGTCATGCCACATCTTCATGGTGGGCATCAGTTCGCTTCATGTATGGGTCGGAAGGGTTTGAAGCAGGTAGTGATGCAGCTGTGGTACGGCTTCTGGTCCATGGTTGTGTCTCATCTTCTGTGTGGGTGTGAGTCTGCTTTCTACATGGAAGTGTGTTGGTAGCATCTTGTGTGGACCTTGTGCATGTGGGTCTGGTGTCATTCTTCATGTTAGGTACTCGTTTGTTCATGAGGGTGGGTTTCCAAATGGCTTCCAAATGGAAGAAGCAGCTGCAAGCTCACCTTACTCCAAGAAGCACAAAGCCAAAGACACAAGCCTGAAGATGATGAATGAGACTTCATCGAAACATCGCCTAGATACTTCCAATTTTACACGGGAGAAAACCCGAATAACCAAAGATCCACATACAAATACCCTCAAAAACCTCAGAAAACATATATATGTATATGTATATGTATACATATGTTGTATATATGTATGGTATTCAGCTTTGTTCAGGTATTTTCCCACATCATTATAGTTGTGCTTTTAAAGTTCACAACATCGGCCATCAAGCTGTCAGCTGCCTTCTGGAAGTGGCAAATTTGTGTTAACATGTGGAGGTGCTTAAGAGAATCAAATTAAGTGGATAGGCACACATTGCTATATCCCCCAAAATGTTATTGTATTTGATTGAGGAGATGGCATTCTTCCTTTCTCTGCATATCCCTTTTCTTCACTAAAATTAACTACCTTCATCTCTAATCTCTTATTCAAGCAGAACCATCTCCTACTATTCTAAATGCATTTTTTCTGACTTAATATCACCAGAAACTAATAGAAGGTTTGGATTAGCAGCAGCAGGAATTGCCTATCATCACTCATGGAGAGCAATCAGCTCCACCAAGATGATGAAATATTTCCACAAGAGAACTATGCTATGCTATTAAATCATCATCAGGATATTAAGATATATGTCAAGAACCATTTTGAGTGGCACAGTTTTGCTTCTATTTCTACCAGCCTTTCCCAGTCACAAAGGGATTTTGGACACTCTTTATCATCTCTACACAAAAGATGACTGAAAACAATAGAATGACATTATTTCCTATTGGAGGGCTGTGCAGTAAAACCATCAGTATGTTTCCTCAAGATTATTGCAGCAGTATTCGGAAAATAAAATAACAAAATAAATAAAAACTAATTCTATATTCTTCCTTTCTAATCTACATATTTCATCAACCATAAGGCAATGAAATGTGCACTAGGATTTTTAGAGCAACGTAAGAAAATGCAATATTTATTTAGTTTTAATTATTAAATTTATATGTCACCCATTTTCTATCCAGAATATTGATTCTGAAATTCTGGCTTGGGATAATACACAGTAATGACAATTTTCATTTTTTTTTTTTAAAAAAAGAGTGAAATAATAGATATTCTATTTTAAGTGTTGAATTTAAACAACACACCATCTATATACAAATACAAGCAAATGCATAAGCAAATAGATTGTTGCTTATAGTATTCCCAATTTGTAAGTAAAATGAAATATGAAT